TGTCCGGGGAAGCCCCTTCTAATTACGTGTAGAGGTCTAATTGGTTCTTATTTTGAAGAGACTTTTTCACATCACGCAACACTTTGCGATAACTGTTGTATGTAGCGTGTATGCCTTCGGGTTCCCTTCAGAATAATACGTCTAGCTGTGGCACTCATTAACCTTATATTTCTAATGCCTTGAGGTGGCTATCTTTTCCTAAATTATCAAAGGAAACGGTACCACCGCGGCAGAGTACACTCTTGGTGAGCAAATATCTTGCTCATTATTATAAAAGCAGGGTGAAATTGACCTTTACCGTAGTGTAGTTTACATTTAATCACTATTATAAATCGATCAATTTTCGGATGAGTTTAGGCCCAGTTCAAACGTCGAACTTTACATGTGCCGAACCTAATACCTATTCGGGTCGACCCAAATAATTAAGTTCGACAGTTGATTCAGACGTCGAACCTAATGCACTCGAACCTAAATGCCGAACAACAAAATAAAACCATTACAGTCAGCGGTTACTGATATGAACCCAAGAGGATTCAGCATGGCGGAGTTTTCGGAAACTCGCGCGAGAAACAACTCAGAAGAATTTCTCATCGCTAATGCCATCCGTGAAGGAAGAAGAAGGCGCCTAAACAAGCAAATGACGTTAAACCACCTAGTTGCTCGGAGGAGGAGAGGTTTGAATGCTTGTTTTCTTGTTTTGCTGTTTATTTCATCGCAACGAAACAACATCACTCCCGTGTCTCGCTCCTGTCGTCGATTGAGCAGAAACACTGGATGGAGGGAGAATGCTTGGAACAACTATTCGGAGGCAAGATTCAGGAAAACATTTCGGATTTCTCGGTCAACGTTCAGATAAACAATCATCATCCAACAATAAAATTTACGGCTGAAATTTCCGATAAGGAAACAACATTCCTGGATACCTAGATCTACAAAGGCGAACGATTCGAAAAAGACGCAATCCTTGATGTGTGTACTCATGTTAAACAAACTGAGACATTTCAGTATACACAGTATAGTTCCTGTCACCCACAAGGAGTTAAAAAGGCTTCATAAAAGGGGAGGCCCTTAGACTTCTCAGAACAAACTCCTCTCAAACAATATTCGAGGAGAAAATTGCAGATTTCAAAGCGCATTTGCTAAAGAGAGGCTACCCAGAGGACCTCATTCACACAACCCTCTCAGAGGTGAATTTCAAAAACAGGAAACTAGCTCTTCAACAGATACCGAAGACGAACCAACGAATCTTGCCATTTGTTACACCATACCAACCATCAGTGCCAAACCTAAAGCAAATTCTCATGAGAAACTGGCATTTAATAGAAATACAACCACTACTGAGCGAAATATACAAAAGACTGCCCCTCGTATCTTACAAAAGAGGACGGTCGCTCAAAGACATACTCATGAGGGCAAAACTTTGAATAGGCTATTCTAAACACGCGCTGAGAAGTCGTGTAGGCCTGTCAACCCCATTTCACATCGAATGTAATCTTATGCGCATGGCNATGACATAAAAGTGAATATACATTACTGCTTTTTCCATTCTTTGATTTTGTTTAAGTATCACTGTTAAGTTTTAAACTTCAGTTTAACCGACTGCACTCCTTAACTTAGATATTGAGTATCAAAATGCGGACCTTTGAGGCCTGTGGGGGGTTCGCACCCCGTGCACCCCCCCTTGTTACGGGCCTGACATGTAACAACTGATGAATGAAAGTCGGATTTCTAAGTCACTTTGCAGTCACAAGTTACACTTAAGAGGCTTTAAAGTCGTAAGTCGTGCATTAGAAGTGCGAGGCCAGAGGTCAGAAAATCACACGTCGATGGTCGGGATTAAAACTCCGAACTCCGAAATTGAATGTGCAAGGTCGGAAATCCAAAGTCGGAAAACCAACAGTGGAAAAGTCGGAAATAAAACTTCGAACTCTGAAATACCGTGTCCGAAATCCGAAGTCTGAGGTCGAAAATTAGAAGTCTGAAGCCGGAAGTCGTGAAATTATAAGTTGATAGTCGAAAATTAAACTGAATTCCGAAGCCGGAAATAGAATGTCTAAGATCTTAAGGCGTCGGAATTACCGTTGTGGCATTAACTTGTGGGCCGATAACAAAACCAAAAGCAAATTTCATTCATTACCCAGACAAAACAGCTAATGATTAAAGCATCGTTAGGACTTGAAACCCAGAATAAATTTAATAACTGAGTCAATCTATAAATGGCTGGCACAAATGGGAAGTTATTCAGAGATAGGGCAAGGTTGGGTTTTGTATGTATTTTGTTTATATTTGATCTATTTTTATTGTTCCTTTTTTATTTGTTTATTTATAAGTTTAAGATTGATATATTCTCGTTTGTGAATATATGAAAGTCATATATTTGAACTGCGGCTGAAGAACGAGCATAAAGGCAATCTTCGCAGTAATGAACATTGCTAAAAGGTAAAAAAGCCTACTTACGAGCTATATGGCCCAGCGGGGCGGCGCTTGACTCCGGTTTCCGAAGCATGAAGCTGCTAGGAGTAATTCTCCCTCCCCCCCCGATGGGATGCTAGTCGATCGCAGAAAATCTGATAAATCGTTATTTTGAATTGAATTTGATTTTATCACGCCTGAAACGTTGTTACGGCCTGTATTCTCCTCTTTCACGTTACCTTATCATTTCCCAGTTTGTGAGGATATGATGAATTATTGTCCTAAAAATTAGATTAGACAAGAAGCTTTACTCTCTCGCCGCCGAGGAGGCCAATTGGGTACCGTTAAGCTGTCAGGAAAACAGTATAGTTCGTAAACGTGCTGCGATAGACCAGCATCTCATCCAAGAGCTAGAAAAAATTACCTCTAAGTAATGGAAGTAGTCCAGATGTAAAAGGTCACAAGCTACTCTCAATGCAGTTGGCTTCAGGTCCTGCATCTCACAGCAGTGGGATTGATTTGAAACCTTTCTAAGGATACATCGTTGGATTTGATGTTGAAAATTATAAAGGCCTCGCATACATATATTTACGAACTAGACCCAGTAAGAGAGCCAGTTATGGTGTTCAAGGAAACCATAAAGGTAGCTGCCATACATCAATGTCGATCAAACTGTGCAAGAACAATACAGCTAACATCAGGGTCATCTGCCTTGAGACATTTCAAGTCAAAGTTTTTGAATTTTTCCTCTACGAACAAAGCAAGTGAGACATAAAAGCAATAATAGTGCCATATAGAAAAATTCCGATGAGTGGGTAGGGCCGTCCAGCAGAAGAAGCTGTGAAACAAACGAAAACAATGTCAAAACAGATTTAACCCCTAACACGAAAAAAACATATAAATTAAGCTTACTCTTCCTTAAGGTTAACCATTAATGCGAAGTAATGACCATTTAAATGAGGATTTTAATAGATTTAAAGAAGGCAAAAATTAAAAGACTTAAATATGGGAGAGTTTGCTTACCCTTACACTGCCTGCCATTTCCGCGATATCCTTTGTTGCAGGAACAACTGTATGATCCCCTGGTATTCATGCAGTTGGCTTTTGCGTGACAATCGTGGATACCCTCTTTGCACTCATCCACATCGTAACACGAGAAACCATTACTAAGGAAGCCGGAATTGCAAGTGCATGTATAAGAGCCATCGGTGTTTCTGCAATTTGCATTCCAGTCACAAGGCCGACTATTACTGCACTCGTCTTCATCGTGGCAATTTTGTCCGTCGCNATTTTTCGCTATTCCATAAATAGCGCTCTCTACTGCGAGGATCATGCATCATACGTAATTCAGTATTGTAAAGCGCCATAGAGCAGTCGGATATGGCGCTATATAAGTCCATTATTTTTTATTTATTAATGGCAATATGGCAGTTCCTTAAACATAATTCCAGATGTGCGATATTGAAAGCCTGAGTTCACGCAACTATGCGTCTAGTTATGAAATAAATATAACAAATGAATTCGATACTTGTCGTTTTCAAGCGCAAGGCGGAATCTTTCGGCCTTTTCAGCGACGCAAGTACGATTTCTCGCAATTTAAGTCGGGGTAACCCCTTCCGCGTACAAGGTTAACCGTCCCTGGTCAACAAATGACGTCCTTTCAAGCGCAAGGTGGAATCATTTGGCCTTTTCATCGACGCAAGTACGATTTCTCGGAATTTAAGTCGGGAAACCCCTTCCCCGTACAAGGTTTAACCCTCATTGGTCACCGCATGACACATGCAAGAGATTTAATAGAAAATATGACATAATCGTGGCATCACATGGCCCTTTAATGAAACTCTGTAATACTACTTCTTCTGGCTGCATATCAATCTAATGCCATTAGTTATATCTACCATACGCTATGTTCCGTCTTTTAAATCAAAACTTAACCAGGCCTGTATTGCCCGAATAAAGGCTGATAGTTTCGAAAGAAACTGTTTGGGGCTGCGTCGGTGGGAGTAACGAAATAATTTGGATATATCAACAAAGTTGAAGTGGTAAATTGGCCACCGTAACGATTACAAAAGCTGACGTTTCGAGCGTTAGCCCTTCGTATTGCCTGAGATAACTTCCAATGTTTGGGCAATTTTTTTGTCGTGGCTGCAATCAAAAGTTTATGAAATGTCTTTCCCGCAGATGTCAGAAAGGCGTTTTATTGCAATACCGTTAAGCTTATTAGAATTTACGGTTTATTGTTTCTTAGATGAAAATCTGATAAATCGTTATTTTGAATTGAATTTGATTTTATCACGCCTAAAACGTTAAGTTTCGGCCTGTATTCTTCTCTTTCACGTTACCTGTCCTTATCATTTCCCAGTTTGTGAGAATATGATGAATTATTATCCTAAAAATTAGATTAGACAAGAAGCTTTACTCTCTCGCCGCCGAGGAGGCCAATTGGGTGCCGTTAAGCTGTAAGGAAAACAGTATAGTTCGTGAACGTGCTGCGATAGACCAGCATCCTATCCAAGAGCTACAAAAAATTACCTCTAAGTAATGGAAGTAGTCCAGATGTAAAAGGCCACAAGCTACTCTCAATGCAGTTGGCTTCAGGTCCTGCATCTCACAGCAGTGGGATTGATTTGAAACCTTTCTTAGGATACATCGTCGGATTTGATGTTGAAAGTTATAAAGGCCTCGCGTACTTATATTTACGAACTAGACCCAGTAAGAGAGCCAGTTATGGTGTTCAAGGAAACCATAAAGGTAGCTACCATACATCAATGTCGATCAATCTGTTCAAGAACGATACAGCTAACATCAGGGTCATCTGCCTTGAGACATTTCAAGTTAAAGTTTTTTAATTTTTCTTCTACGAACAAAGCAAGTGAGACATAAAAGCAATAATAGTGCCATATAAAAAAATTCCGATGAGTGGGTAGGGCCGTCCAGCAGAAGAAGCTGTGAAACAAACGAAAACAATGTCAAAACAGATTCAACCCCTAACACGAAGAAAACATATAAATTAAGCTTACTCTTCCTTAAGGTTAACCATTAATGCAAAGTAATGACCATTTAAATGAGGATTGTAATAGATTTAAAGAAGGCAAAAATTAAAAGACTTAAGTATGGGAGAGTTTGCTTACCCTTACACTGCCTGCCATTTCCGCGATATCCTTTCTTGCAGGAACAACTGTATGATCCCCTGGTATTCATGCAGTTGGCTTTTGCGTGACAATTGTGGATACCGTCTTTGCACTCATCCACATCGTAACATGAGAAACCATTACCACGGAAGCCGGAATTGCAAGTGCATGTATAAGAGCCATCGGTGTTTCTGCAATTTGCATTCCAGTCACAAGGCCGACTATTACTGCACTCGTCTTCATCGTGGCAATTTTGTCCGTCGCCTTGGTATCCCACAGTGCACTTACAGCTGAAAGAACCAGGGGTGTTCGTGCAACTTGCTTTCGAGCTGCATTGAGCTGTCCCATCCTTACACTCGTTGATATCTACGAAAGGAATTAAATAAGTTAATCATCCCTCTCATTCAGCGATAGAGTAGTATATGAACAGCAACCATACAAAAACCCGCTCCTATTATCCCACTGCACATGACTGGAGTGTCTAGATAACAATCATGATAGTAGATGCCATGGACTACCTTTTTATAGCGCTTCAATTGTTGATTGTATGCTTACCATTACAAGATCGTCCATTTCCACGATACCCTTTGTTGCATATGCAATTGTGTGAGCCCGCGATGTTTACACATCTGGCGTACGGGCTGCAAAGATGACTTCCATCGCTGCATTCGTCAAGATCTTGACACACATAACCATTGCCGGAAAACCCAGAACGACACATACATTGATGAGAGCCCATAATGTTTTTACATTCTGCATCCCTATCACACTTGTGAGTTCCATCGCCACATTCATCAATGTCATGACATAAAAGTCCGTCTCCTGAGAATCCCGGACGACAAGTGCACTTGTAGGAGCCGACAGTGTTATTACAGAATGCATAAATGCTACAATCGTGCGTGTTAGTCTTGCATTCGTCGACGTCATGACAAGACCGTCCATCGCCTTGGAATCCTCCCAAACAACTGCAATTGTAGGAGCCTAGTGTGTTATCGCAGGATGCATAAACACTACAATCGTGCGCATTAGTCTTGCATTCGTCAATGTCATGACAAGACCGTCCATCGCCTTGGAATCCTTCCAGACAACTGCACTTGTAGGAGCCTAAGGTGTTATTGCAGGATGCATGTACACTGCAATCGTGTGTGTTATTCTTGCATTCGTCGATGTCATGACAAGACCGTCCATCGCCTTGGAATCCTTCCAGACAACTACACTTGTAGGAGCCTACGGTGTTATTACAGGATGCATAAACACTACAATCATGCGTGTTAGTCTTGCATTCGTCGATGTCATGACAAGACCGTCCATCGCCTTGGAACCCTTCCAGACAACTGCACTTGTAGGAGCCTATGGTGTTATTGCAGGATGCATGTATGCTACAATCGTTTGTGTTAGTCTTGCATTCGTCGATGTCATGACAAGACCGTCCATCGCCTTGGAATCCTTCCAGACAACTACACTTGTAGGAGCCTATGGTGTTATTGCAGGATGCATGAATGCTACAGTCGTGTTTGTTAATCTTGCATTCGTCGATGTCATTGCAAGACCGTCCATCGCCTTGGAATCCTTCCAGACAACTACAACTGTAGGTGCCTATGGTGTTATTGCAGGATGCATGATCACTGCAGTCGTGCGGGTTAATCTTGCATTCGTCGATATCATGACAAGACTGTCCATCGCCTTGGAATCCTTCCAAACAGCTGCACGTGTGGGAGCCTTGAGTGTTATTGCAGGATGCATGAGTACTGCAATCGTGGGTGTTAATCTTGCATTCGTCGATGTCATGACAAGACCGTCCATCGCCTTGGAATCCTTCCAGACAACTACAATTGTAGGAGCCTATAGTGTTATTGCAGGATGCATGAACACTACAATCGTGCGTGTTAATCTTGCATTCGTCGATGTCATGACAAGCCCTTCCATCGCCTTGGAATCCTTCCAAACAGCTACACGTGTGGGAGCCCTGAGTGTTATTGCAGAATGCATGAATACTGCAATTGTGAGTGTTCGTATTGCATTCATGAATGTCGTAACAAGACCGTCCGTTGCCATCAAATCCATCGAAACAATGGCACTTGTAGGAGCCTACAATGTTTTCACACACTGCATGGTCGCTACAGCTGTGTATTTCGCTCAGACATTCATCGATATCCTCGCAAGAGAGACCATTGCCGTGGAATCCTGGCAAACAGTGGCAATCGTACGAGCCGATGGAATTTATACAAAGTGCATGTTGACTGCATGTGGCAGTATTCCTTTCACATTCATCAACGTCCTCGCACGAAAATCCATCTCCATGGAAGCCATTATTACAAACGCAATTGAAATGCGTCTTATCTTTTGGATTTGATTTGCAAGTGGCATTTCCGTCACAAAATGGCTTCTGGCGGCAGTTAAAACTTGTCGCTGGCGTTGATGCATCTGTCAAGGAGAGACGAGACGGATCAATACTTTGTACCAAATTTTAAAATTGTAGACGGCTGAAGAATTTTTCATTGTTTCGGCAAGTTTTCTGGAGACTCTACTCTAATTATTCAGTAGGTCAAACCGGAAGACATAACCTTTACATTAGCACGTATGTTTCAAATGCCTGTTCTTGATTTTCACGTGACATCTTTCAATTGGAAAATCCAAAGTAAAGACCCACGAAAATTTTTATCCTCATAGGGCATAAGTGGGTCTAAGTTCGTGTCTTTTTTCAAACTTTCAGCTCAATAGCGTGCTTGGTTTGGAAACCAACGCAGTGTGAAATTCAGAGCTATACAGCTCCGGTCGCGTTTGTCGCAAAGTAGACTTATCTAATGATTTTTAGCCTTTTTAGGAAGTAAAGAGTATGAAGGTAGATCGTGGAAAAAATGTTCGACTCGTCGTTTCGTTATGGCGTTTGGTCGTTTCCGCACTCCGTTACTTCTGGTCGAGTCGTTGTTTTCCGAGTTCGACTCGCCGTTTTAGAAGTCGACTCATCGCTTCGTGAGTTTGTCTGGTCGTCTTGTCAGTTCGATTCATCGGCTGGCCTCTTCGACTCGTCGTTTTACGAGTCCGACTCATCACCGACCACATCGGTTCGTCGTCGTTTGTCGTTTTCTCATTTCGTCGTTTCGTCATGGCGTTTCATCGTTTCGTTATGTCGTTTCGTCGTTTCGACTCGTCCACTCAGAGG